AACGTATTATGTCAGATCTTTCCTGCTCATTTATGCCCATGATATTTATCGTACGGAGAGAATAAAGTATAAAACATATCAAGTTATCAACAACATTTGTATCAGTAGAAGAGACTATAGTTGTTTAAATACGATCTTGAATTTAAGTAGTGAATTTCTTTTATTTTGATGAAAAGAAAAATAGTGAAATGAGAAAAATTGATGAATTTTTTTTTAAATAGTAAATTTCCATCCAAACAAAGGGCGAAAGAGCTATCCCTAATTAATCCTCACAATGCTCAAATATAACTCAGTCAAATGCTTATATAATAATAATAATATAAAACATATAAACAAGTTAATAGTGGGAAAATCCCACTCAAGGACCTTGATAGAAATATATTTACACTTACAGACCTTGCCTTTAAGAAATTGCAACAAAGAACCTAAGCCTTAGCTGAGAAAAATATCCATTAGGACGAAAATACAATAATACATAACATCAAATTATAGAGTATGGACCACGTGTTTGTAAATTTCATAAAGTTAATTGCCAATTATGGACAATAAACTTGTAAATTACCAAAGTTTTAAATGATTTATTATAAAGTTTTCCTCACTTACAAGTGAGTTGAACATAATTCACAATTAATTTTTCATAACTTACAATTGCAATTACATCAGACATATCAAATTCGAGTTTTGATTGGTTTAGTATTCAGCTTCACCATAGAGTGAATTACACATAATTTACAATTAATATTTTTTCTTTTTCAGTATAATTGCATCAAACATGAAAAATTTTGGTTTGATCTCGATGATTTATTGTTGAGTTTTCATAATTTACAAGTAAATTATTTGCAATTAACAACTAAGTTTCCATACATTATCAATGATTTACAATTAATTTAATATATGAGAGAAAAACAAAAATGCCCCAAAGTATACAAATAATAAAGAAGTACCACGAAATATGATAATTATTATGTCGCCTATAGGGAGTTGTATGTCATATTGGTTTTTGATGAAATATTAAATTTACTTCCGATTTAAAATTTGAAATGAAATATATGGTTGATACTTGACAGTGACCAAAAATAGGGAATGATATTTTTTCTCGGGCAAATGATTAAAACTTGATAGGAAATTACAAGTATATTACTACTATTTTTTCCGTTTTTCATTAGGCTTTAGTCATTTGCTCAAGAAAAGTTGTTACTCTGTGTTCTTAAGTAGCCATTGTCTCCATATGTTGCATTTTATTGATTAAAAACATAACAAAAAGAAACTTGTAATTGCTTTTATGTTTTAGTGATTTATCTAAGAGAATTTGTCACTTCCTATTCTTAAATAATCGCTATACTTCACATGTTACATTTGACTAATAAAAAATTGGGAGAAAGGTACTTGTAATTTATTATTAGCTTTTAGTTATTTGTCCAAGAAAAATTGCCATTCTCTATTCCGAAATAATTACTGTCTTCCATATTTTATTTCAAATTTTATATTGGAGGCAAATGGTCATTTTGCCAAAAACCAATATGCCATACAAGTTCTTATATGAGACTACACGATGCTTGTCACATTTTGTATTATTTCTTTATCTTCTGCAGGAATTTTTTTTTTGGTTATTCTCCCTTATATATATATATATATATATAGAGAGAGAGAGAGAGAGAAGAGCTTCTGTAATTTACAAGTGCAATTTCTTGAATTCAGATTTCATAGTGTGACTTGGCCATTAATTATACATAGAATCAACGTAAAATAATGTCTACAAAAATAAGTATGGACATTATGATCATAATAATTCAATGTTTCTTCTTCCTTTTTCTCCTTGATATTATGACATGTTATGTGTGTGATCTCATTTTTTGGTAGGGCTGATTTTTAAATAATAAATAGATTATGTTTCAATGGTCAATGACGTTCCATCCCTGCTGCTTCATCTTTCTTATTATTATGCCCATTTTCCATCTAATAATAATAATAATAATATTATTATTATTATTATTAAAAGATGGTATCCCTGGGACAACTTCTCATGTTTCCATTTATTTTTAATTTTTTCAATATAAAATGCAGTCATGAATTCTCCTAATCAAAAAGTTAAATAATATATATACAAGGGTTTGATTTAGGTATAATTTATACCTCACATTTTCATATAAGAAAATTAATGTTGTAGATATATTTTTTAAACAAGAGTACTTATTTTTAAAGGGTATAGGCCGCCCTAATGCTCTGCCCTTCTAATACCCTTTGTATAAAATCATTACCTTTACTTTCATTCGTTTTTTCTTTGATAATTAGATTCCATATTAAATAAAAGACGTTTTAATATTTTACGGGTGATAATGTGCAATTTTACATTTTTTTAACTATTTTTCAAAATTTTAGATAAAATCTGTTAATCAAAAGAAAAAATAATTTTTTTTACCAACAAAAAAAATAATTGAAAAGTTGAAACATTATATTAGAGGGGGATATTAGAGGCCCAATCCCATTTTCAAAAAAGAAAAGAGTCATGTAATTTGAATATCTTTTGACAAGGAATAATTTACTCAAAATAAAACAACACTTTTTTTGTCCATAAAAATAAAACTACACATACAATTAAAAGAAGATTAAATTTTTTATTCACATTTTTATTAGGTACATTTTTTTTTTACCAAAAGTATCCTTGCTGATAACTGAGATTAATCTCCTTTGAAGGATTTGAATTTGGGACACAACTCATCTCTTTTTATTCTTATCACCTCACTGAATTGGTTCTAAATGACTATTGGTTTAATGTAAATAATCCATGGTATTAACTTATGGATCAAAGATCTCTCATACATACATCAAATTAATGCATAATAACTTGATCAGGTCTTTAAAATATTATCTCACACTTTCATTTAGGAGTGACCATCGATTCGGTTTGCCGTCAACTAAAACCGATCAACTAAATTACACATGAAATTTGAATTGAATCGAAACAAAATACATGATCAAATCATATTAAAACTGAATTAAATTATAACAATTTGGTCCAATTTGTCTATTCAGTTAGTGAGCTTTGATTTGGATTCATAAAGTTTAATTGTTTGCACATTTTTTTAGTCCTTTTTTCCCTTCTCTACTGTTAAAGGTCCAAAAAATAGTCATTCTATTCCACAATTCATAAGAAAACTAATACAAGCTATCACTACTAAATAAAAATAAATAAATTATAGAAATTAAAAATGAAACCACACAAAACAAAACAAAAAAATACTACTACTAATACTAATAATGGAGAGCAGAAAACGGAAAATGGAAAAGCAAACAATGAAAAAAAATGCAAAGATGTTTTTTACTTTGCCTTAGATAAGAGCTTGAATAGATGGAGAGGAAAAATTAGAGGTGAGGCAGGTTAGGTTGCTTTTCCTGATTTATTAAATTGGTAGTAAAAAAATAATTTATTAAATTTTAAAAAAATATAAATATGTATTATATAAATAGTACATTGAGTTTGATCTATTTATTTTAACAATTCTTAGACCAAACTAAATTGATCGATTAAAATTTTTATTTCAAAAAAAGTGAATCAAACCATATAATTAAATAGATTGTATTAAATATATCAAATTCAATTTAAGTCAATAAGATCTTCTATTTCAATTTGGTTGGCTTACTTTCATTATAGCCTTTGCTTGTGCTATTTATTTATCTCATCTACATGCTTGTCCACCAAAAGACATTCAGGGGTAAATATTGACCCATATTGTACTTGTGATTTGTCTAGTTGACCTAACTAGATTATATTAACATAGTAAAGGTTTCGTGTTGCATAAAATTTGAGAAATTAATCATGTTATTTCAGATTGATGAATTATATAATTTGTTAAAATTTATATTTATATTTATATATAAATTATAAATTATAAAGTGATTTATAAAAAATCTATGGTAAAATATAATTGTTTATGCATGTTTGGTGTTTGGATTGTAAATGAGCATTATTGGCTTGTAAAAGGAATTATCCCTAAGCTATATTTTCTATTTATAAGATTCTAAGGGGAAATTCAATTTTTCTTATGAAGTAATTAAATTATATTTTGCTTTTGGAAGAAATTAAAAATTAATTTTTTTATGATCTAATTTTTTTTAAATTAATTGGGTCGGACCAAGTTGAGTTGAGTTAGTTGGCCGGCTCAAATTGATCACATGACATATGGCCCAATTTACTAGTTTACAAAATGTATTACTAAAGACATGACAATATATGCTAAAATGCACTTTTAATTTTTTAACTTTCATAAAGTTTCATTTTGATTCTTTAATTATATAAATTTTTTTAATTATTTAACTCGAATGTAATTAATTTTATAAATAAAAATTCATATATTAAGCTTTTAAATATTTAACGAAACACTTATTGTTGAGATATTAAATTTAAATTTTTAAAATAACAATGATTAAAATGAAAAAAATAATTATTTAAAATTAATGATATTAGGATTAGATGATTAAAAATATATTTTATAAAATTAAGAGGTTAAATTAAAATATTTAAAACATAGCTTATCAAACATTTTACTAGTAACATTCATTCCATCCAAACTGATCCTGGACTTTCTGCAAAGAATTTTTATTCCATCTCTGTCAGCAGTGTACCGTTTTTTTTAAAAATATTTTAATATTCATAATATTATAAATTAAAAAACTGCAACAGACTTTTTAAATTAAAAAATTGATTGAAAGTTTTTTGAAATAAAAATATATGTGCTACTGATACCCAATTATTTTATATTGATTTATCAACTAGAACAGCATCATCCTGTTTCACAGAATGTTTAAATTCAAAGTTCACATGTTCTTCAAAAGGAAAAAAAAAATAGTGCTCAGGAACTGTTTTTTCATAAGTTGATGATTTTTTTTTGTCCCAAAAAAAAAAGTTGATGATTTTATTTTTATAATTTATATTGTATTGATGGTTTTGTTGAAAAAAATAATAATAAATTAAAAATGTTAGTGTTTTCAGTTTTCACATTATTTTCCTTTCGTGACATCAGTTCCTTCAACCGGCGACAACCAAAGCGAGGGCTTAGGTCCTTCGCTAGGGTTTGCGAATCCGCCATTGCCCATTGCTATATGTTTATGCTTGTTACAACTACTTTTTGCTTCTACAAGCTTCAAAGTTCTTACTTTTGTGCTTTCCCTTTGAACTCGATCCTTTTGAAAGACTCATGTTCCATGTGTTCTCGGTACCTGATTCGAAGTTCAAAGGTACTCCCTTTATTCTCCACCTGTAGATTTTCTTTATCTGTGTGTTCTTGCTCTTTTTAGTTTCCTTACATGGTGTTTTAGAAAAATCGTTCATTTATTTGAAGCTTGCTTGAATTTGCATCTGGGTGTTGACAATTCTGAAGCTTTCAGGGGAAAGATTTGATTGTTTGTTGAGATTGTTTTTGCCCCAAAATAAAGTCAATTACGAAGAAATTATTTGATCTCGAGCAAGGTTTTGCAAATTCTTATGTTCGAGTTTGAAGTGATGGAGGGCATATGATTGGAAGGTAAGATGCTTTTGTGATTTGGGTTTGGGGATTGGAATTCGATCGATCTGTTGATCAGATCCACTTTCAAGTCAATGAATTTGACACTGGATATTGCATGTTTTAATTATGATGAACTTTAAACCCATTTAGATGCCTTAGCATCAGATACATTCCAATGAAAAAAAAAAAGAGGTTTATGATGGGTTTCTTGTGATCCGGTGGTTTTGGTGTAGAACACTGAGGATCCTGAGGGGGTTCTTCTCTGAAGTTTTACAATGTCGTCTGCGGATAGTCAGGGCCCCTCAACACCTTTTTCCTCCATTGGCCGCTCATTATTTGGTATCCGGCGGGAGCAGGTTCATTCTGTGGAAGTGAGTCATGAATCCAGATCCCATGATACAGGGCTTGAATCATTCCAGAAGCAGGTTACAGATAGATTCCATGAACTTTGTGGGGTCAGTGATGATGAAGTGCTCTCTATCCAATGGATGCTGAAGCTCCTGGATGCATTTGTCTGCTGCCAAGAGGAATTCAGAGCTATTCTGCTGAATAAGAAAGAGCAGGTCTCAAAACCCCCTCTTGATCGGATAATTTCTGACTTATTTGAGAATTCAGTAAAGGCACTTGATATTTGTAATGCAAGTCGTGAGGGGATTGAGAAGATTCGTGTGTGGCAAAAACAAGTGGAGATTGTCATGTCTGCCTTGGATTCTAAAAAGAGAGCATTAAGTGAAGGCATGTTTCGGAGAGCAAGAAAGGCACTGATGGATTTGGTACTGGCAATGCTTGATGAGAAAGACACTGGATCTGCCTTTTCACAACGCAACCGATCCTTTGGGCGTCATAACACAAGCAAAGATAAGCATCATCACTCAGGGCATTCTCGATCTCATTCTTGGAGTGTATCTCGCTCCTGGTCTGCAGCCAAGCAACTGCAATCCATTGCAAATAACTTGGTGCCTCCTCGTGCAAATGAGATTGCTGCAACAAACGGTCTTGCTATTCCTGTGTTTACAATGTACTCTGTTCTTCTGTTTGTTATGTGGTCTCTAGTTGCAGCGATTCCTTGTCAGGATAGGGGTCTGAATGTCCATTTCTCAATCCCCCGGCAGTTCTCATGGAGCACTCCCTTAATCTCACTTCACGAACGAATCTTGGAGGAGTCTAAGAAGCGTGAACGCCGGAACTCAAATGGCTTGTTGAGGGAGATATATCAAGTGGAGAAATGCACCCAACACTTGACAGACTTGGTGGATTCAGTCCAGTTTCCATTGACAGAGGAGCAGAAATTGGAAGTTGAACAGCTTACAGAGGAGTTAAACTTGATTTATGAATCTTTTAAAAATGGTTTGGATCCGCTGGAGTGCCATGTGAGGGAAGTTTTCCGGAAGATCATGACTTGCAGAACTGAGGGGCTTGAATACTTGAGTATGTCAGGCTATAGAGAGTAAAGAAATTGGTGAACGGTTACAGAGGAGGATCAACTGTACAAATTTGTGAAGCGTACACATTTTGTATCTTGCTTTTTGGAAGGAGGAAGAGATACCAATGCGTTTAGAGTATAAACTATTTAGCTGCCTTGTATTTATCTCAGTACTTGTGTGAAAGAACATAATGTTCCTGAATTTCTCATGCCTTATTTTCTCATATGGTTTATGTCTTACACTTGCACTGGACTTGGTATATTTGTAATACAGTAAATTTACAATGAGAAAAAAGAAAATATATTTATGGCCTTTATGCCATCTTTTGGTGGTGATACTGCTGCTAGCAAGTATTACTACTCTGTCTACGTCTTTTTATTGCTGAGAAAAGACGAAATGTATTCCTGCATTTTGGTGACAGAAAATGCCATCCTCAATAGTTTGATTGTGCTTGATACAATCAAATGAGATTACAGGTGTCAGGTGACACTCACGGTGCCTAAGCAACATTATTTTAACTTCCATTGCTTATCCAAACGGGCATGAAGAGATTGCAATCAGGATTTGGGGCCCTGTTTAGTTACGTTCACGGTGACGCACTCTTTAAAACGAGTTGTTAATGACTCGACAATGAGATCATTCATGTCTAATGATTTGCATCTGATGACATACAAACAATAAGCAATAGCAAATTCCCACCGTAACATTGAGAATTTATTTGGGACATTGAATGAATATTTTAAGAAACTGAGGGTTTTGGAGTTTTAAAAGTTGCCACCAAATGCAGAACCGTCAAGTACTTGGTGAAAGTGTTTGCTCACTTTACTGTACAAAAAGATTCTACAAGTGTTCAATCCGGATTAGTCTGGATCCTGTTTAATCTCTTCAGCTTGAGTCAAACGAGCTCAAGATACCTGGTGCAATATTAAAAAAAAAAAATCTTCAAGAAATTTCCAACCTGACTTTGCATTTGTAATAGGCTGAACATGCTAGTCTTGAGGAGTTGATCTATAATGATAGCTTTCTCATTCACCAGTCAGAATATTTCAGCAGTGTTGTCTAAATAAAATAAACAGTAACTTTATTGAAATTTCTTCGAATCCCAACTGAGAATGTACAACAATTTTTTCTAGGTTCTAAGCCTACTGATCTAACAACTTCTAAAAACTTTCAACAGTTATTATACACCTATGCTTCTGTTACTTGTACACCAAGTAATACAAATAGCCTGACTAGGCAACACTGCAAGCCCATAATCAGGTCCTTTGGCAGAGCCCAGTAGAGACTACTAGCAAAAAAGGTGCATCCCTATCTTGGACAATGAACAATAAAATATAAAAAACAGAACAGCAAGTAATTCACAGGCCAAGGTCCCACAAAAATTCAATGGCTCTAGACACTATGCCCCTGTGAAAGAAAAATGGAGCAAAATTTGGACAAGGTAGGAAAGGATCTACCGTTTTTTGTCCAACTATACCCAACTGAAGTAGTTTTGACCTTCAAAGGACTTTAACATGGCACCTATGAACTGTTGTGATTCCAATGCAGGGATCAGTTACACAGGTCCAGAAATCTTGTGCCAAAAACCTTTGCCATTTTTAAAATCGACTGAGTCGGCTGACTTCTGTGTAGACGTCTGCATGATTAAGTGAAGAGCTCGGGAAACGACCACATTATGAACTTAGCAAAAACGTCAGACTCCAAGAACTCAATATGAGCAGCCCGCCCTATGAGTGTGTTTAAGTTCTTGCCATATAAGGATGTATTGAAGTTGATGTCACAGCGCATGACCATGCCATGGTCGGCGAGAGCATTAATTTGGTGCAAGCAATTATTTAGCATCTCATGGAAGACTTTCCCTTTTTTGGAGTAATCCAAAGAAGCTGATGGACAATGTTCAATTCTGGCAGAATGATATGGAACATAACCATCCTGAAATCAAATGAAGAGGAAGCGCAATGAAATGCTTATACAAATAATAAAGAAAGGTAATCAATCAAGTATTTATTAAAACGGAGCTATTTAATTATCAATTTTACACAAAAGCATATCAACAGAAGTCAGAACAAGTTGATACCTGTAACAAAACCAACACAAATGTGTAGCAACCATATAAATAAGGCATCAAATGGAAATATTTTCAAGTAAAGGACCATTGCAGAAATGTTGAGGGAGTTGCAACTATGCATTATTTTACAGGTCCTATGGAAGTGAGCTTTCATTTGGGGGGGGGGGATATATGCATATATATAGAAGATAGCTTTCCACTATATTTCTTTTAATTAATTATTGCTGTTTTTTCTTCTTGATACATTAGTTTCAGACATATAATCTCTTTTCACCATTTCAGAAATGACCAAATAGCCGAATGTAAGATGTTGGAGTGGGCTACCATCTTGGACCCACAACAAAACAGCCCTAATTTACCATGTATTAGTAGGTATATATTTGTATTTATTTTATATGATCTGATTATTCTCTTTAAGATTTTAGGATTATCATTTTTTATGTTTTTCTTATTTTGGAGAGATTGCATCCGATCTCATGCTCTCTATTCCCTTATATGTATTCTGTTTCTCTGATTCAATGAGAATAAGAATCCTGCCGCTTGCCTACTAAATTACACCAAACCTTGGGATAGAATTCAGAAAAAAATATTTGCCAATGTAGGTACTTTCTGAATTTCAAGCTATGGAAATTATCATCATAAGCACTCCAAAAAGGTTACCTGAGGTGAGGATAAAAGTATTATGTTCCTGAAGTTCACCAGTGTCTTCTTCTGCAGTACAAGAATAATGATGTTTAACTTCAGCAGCTAAAACTAACAAAATAGCACTTCTTTCCCTTTGTTCCCTTCATCAAAATATGCAAACCAAATTGAAAAGCATCGAAAAATATGCTGTAAAGATTCAAAAGAATAAATAAGCTACGAGACTCATAAAGTCCAAAACTTCAACGCAAACGGCTCCTTTGCAGCCAAATTTCCAATAATTACTGCTTTCCTCATTCCACAACCCTCAAATGTCTTATATTCACCATATAAAAGAGAAAATAAGCATACATTCACTATTCAATACCTTGGAAAGATTGTAGATGAAGGTGTTTTCAAGATCAGGATCATCTGTGAATGTCAGCTGATGGATGCATCGCATATCCTTCAGCTTTTTCAAGAGCCACAACCCTGAATTGAATACTGAGTTTGAACTATACATATAACCCAGGTGAGGACCCGATATTGAAACATAAGTATACAAGTATCTTAGATATGGCTCCATGATGCTCTCTGCAATTCAAAACCCAAAAAAAAAAAAAATCTTTTAATAAATATTTAATTGTGATAGGCACTATTTTTTATGATTTAAGCATGCATACAACCTGCTAAAGCAGTTCTGATAATGAGATTTCCAATGGAATGGCCAACAAAACTAAGCTTGATATCTTTCAGGCGCCCACTTCTTGAAAATTTATCCATCTTCCTTTTGATGAAGGAGATCAACTCCTCTGCAAGTCGTAAACCCATCTCTCTGAAGTCCCCAGATGTTTTGTCTTCATTAGCCTCTGACATAAGGAATTGTATCTTGGGGTCTATCAGCAGCCATTGGTTCCGAACAAGCCGTAAATCCAAATGATGACCCTGTAAATGTTTAAGTGATGTGAGGAATAGAATCAAATAATCTACTAATAGAACAATAAGGGGGACAAAACAGAATCTAAACTTGCCAATGAAATGAATTCACTATAACTATAAAGTAGGAATGCCATCAACTAAAATATAACAGATAACGGTCAGTAAAAGCCACAAGCATCTTTTGAGAACAAACATAATTGAGATAATAAGAAATGCAATAATATGTCAGTAAAAGGGCAAGCAAGAATATTGCAACAAATAAACCAGAGTGGAAACTACATTGCAAACAACATTGCCAATTACTCATTGATTTGGGCGACTGATTGGCCTATACTTGAAACCTGTATAATAAACCAAAGCCACCCTATAATTTTAGACATATTCCATAGAACACCAATAGGTGGGGCATGACTTCAGCAAACAAAAAGACCTAAAGAGAAATGAAAATAATTTAATACTGTTTAGAGAAAGCAGCTTACATGTGTAGAAGACAAACGCATGACTATGACTGTCTCGATTAAAAATGAGGTTTAGTGCACATATAAAAGAAATTAGGATGGACGATTCCCGTATGTATTAATAACTTTCTCAATGAAAAAAAAGCTTCTGGCAAGATGAATTCAATGTTAAGCTTCTATCAGGACAGTAAAACTCTTTTGTAGTTCAATTAACAAAGAAGCAAAGTTTCTTGAAGCAATCATGCTTACTTTTTTACAACCATCTCAAACTCCAAATAAAAGAATACATCCAACCCTAATATCGCATGGCTATAGTGGCTAGAACCAATCACTAAGATAAGAAAATAAATTATATTTAGTAACTGGAATTTATCAACCGGTATTATTCAATGAGATGTATTAACATGTATGCAAATAAGTTACTCATTTCAAGATGAAAAGGAAGTAGCTTCCTATTATAATGTTTATACAATGTATAATAATGTGCTTCCAAGCCTATTGCTGATCATGTCAAAAAAAAAAAGGCCTATTACTGATGGTTGACGTGAGTGATCTGATACAACAACAACAATAACAATAAGCCTTTATCCCACTAGGTGAGTGATCTGATAGTTTGTCTTTATATACTACAGGCTCACTGTTGTACGAAAGGGTTCATAGAAGTGATTAGACCTCAAAATTTTTAGGACTAACCAAATCTGTAGTTGTGTAACAAGTCATTTGAATAGTGTATTACATGGTATGGCATTATATGGACTGTAATTCCTCCCACGAGCTAGCTTTTGGAGTATGAGTTTCTAAAAGGTCCATATCAATGGTATCAAGGACTTGAACTATCCTCTACCCTCTACTTCTCTCCCTCATTCTATTTTTCTCGCCTCTTCTCCTCTCCTATCCTCTTGCCTGTATGTTGATGTCCAGGTAAAAGTCTCTCCCACTTGCCAGGCATGGGCGCTAGGTTGTGGAGAATGGTGGAATGATGAAACCTATTACAAGGCATGGGACTTGAGACTCACTTGATGGACTTTGGAGTTTTTAACCCCATGACCTAGCTTCTATCGTGACTCTCTTGAAGGTTTATATCAGTGGCAAATTGGTATAAGAGCCTTCTACAGCCCTCTATTTCCATTTTCTCTCCCATAGATACTCTTCTCCTGTTCTCTCCTTTTCCTCTTGCCTCTGTATTAAAGTCAAGTTTTGGAGGTCTCTTTTCTCTTCACCTCACCTG